AGAGACCGGAAGGGCCATCTAATCCAACTCCCTGCCATGTAGGTAGACACTCCTGATGCACTCCCAAGAGATGCCCATCCAGCCTTTGTTTAAAGACCTCCAAAGAAAGAGGGTCCATCTCCTTCCAAGGCTATCTATTCTACTCTCTTTCCATTGAGAGGCAAACACTTTTTGATTCCAGCAGGACTTTGCGAACTGAAAGGGATCCGAATATTGTTTATAACTGTACTATTTTCAATTGTAGTTTCCCTTTTAATATTCCTAATTGTATGTTTTACGTTGTTCTTAATATTGTTGATAGTTTGATTCCATTTCAGTGTTGACCTTTTGTGTGTTTTAACTGCATTCCATTTGTTTGAATTACTAAACTCTGGTTCTGGGCAAAAGGCAGCATATAAATTAGATTAACAATAATAATAATTCCCCAGTGGACGCTTGAGAAAAGACATTCCTGCAATTAGGGTGCCTCCTTGCATGCATGAATTTTATATTTGCTTATTTCCACAAACATCCATTGAATGTTCATCAGGGAAGGTACTTACACAATGTTCAGTGGTATAGCCTGGGCCAGAGCTTGGGAAAGTTACTTTTTTGGAATCTATCTCTCACAGTCCTCTACCCATCACAGCCAGGAGGCTCAGGATTGCTGTGGAAATGTGGTGGGTCACTTGCCTTCTGTTGCCCATAGGTATAGATGGATAGATAGATAGATAGATAGATAGATAGATAGATAGATAGATAGATAATAGATAGATGTGTGTTGTGTGTTTTGTGTTGCATGTGTGTCTTGCATGGTGAGTATTGAACCAGACTGGAAGATGTCCTATCCTATCCGTGGCTATTACCCCAAACAACACAATGTAGGACAAAGGTTCACAACACAATGTAGGACAATGAAGCTCTGTGGCCAACCTGTGAGTGCCACAACTGGGCTGTTTTGGACTTCCAATGTTCTGCGTGCGAGGTTACCAGATCTCGAGGCTTGGGCCCGAGTCTTCAGGTTTCATGGGTCAATTCTAGGCAGGAGACCAGAGTGCAAATTCTCCAGGTTTGGGAGGGCTGAGCTCTTAAGCAAGTGGAACAGACTGTGTGCACGTCTTACAGCTCAAAGATTCAATGCAGTTTGCAAGACTTTGTGCATTTCTTGCTGCAATTTGTAAAGACTCCAGAGCAACTGGATGGCCCTTGAGGTCTCTTCCAACTCTATGATTCTAAGACTTCTCAACCCTAAGGTTGAGAGATTGCTAGGGATTCAATGAGGGATCTTTTTTATTTTTCATTTTTTTAGCTATAGATACAATAACGTTCAGGCAGATGTTCCCTGAGACCTGAAAATTGTTTTGGGGGCTCCATCAGGCTAAAAAGGTTGAGAAAGGCTGTCCCAGAGAGTCTCTTCACTTCTCTTTCCCTTCCAGCTGTTGGGGTACCAGGACTTACCCTCTCTTCTGCTTTGGATCCACCTTCTGGGTAGAAGCAAGTAGGCTAGATGAATGGTTCCTTATCCTTTCTCCTTGAGTAAGTGAGAAGGAATAATCCCCTCATTTCACTTTGCTCAGGGGATGTCTCTTCTAGCTAAGATTTCTCTCCTAATTTCCATACGTTCTCTGTGTGTGTGTGTGTGTGTGTGTGTGTTTGAACAGTGAGCTCTGAGCAACTATGGTTGGTACTTAGTGCATAATCCGTAATGATATCACCAGCGGCCATCACTAGGTCTCCAGTTTGGGCCCGGAAACCAAAAACCAAAAGCCTGGAATGATGCTGAACTGGCAGTCTTACCTATGTGATGAGCCACAGGACAATGGGCTGCAGGATCTGTCTAGTCATAAGACACCTGGATATATTTGCTAAGGCAGTGCTCTTGCTCAGAGATTCCTCACCCACAAAATCCCCAACCAGGAGGTCAGAATCCAGGCCTTGCGATCTGAGAATCCTAGATATAAAAGGTACTGGGCCTCATTTCAGCCACCATAACTATGGTCCAAAACACACTCCAGAAATAATCCAGTCTGAGACCGATTTAACTGCCCTGGCTCAGTGCTAAGGAATTCTGGGAACTCTAGTTTTGTTAGCCATTTAGCTTTCTCTGTCAGAGAGCTCTGGTGCCACAACAAACTATTAATTCCCAGGATTCCTTAGCGTTGAGCCAAAGCATTTAAAGCGGTCTCAAAGTGGATTATTTCTGCAGTGTGTTTTGGACCTTAGCCTTCCTACAGAAAGTACTGTCAGAGGTCTTTGTGTCTGAGTTGGGCACTGTCTGAGCGGCTAAAATCTTCCTTATTCTCGTGTTCCTCTTCTTGCTTGTTAGGTCCTGCCTCGTGGTTCGTCCCCGGCTCCTCAACTTGTTCTTCACCTTTAATTTTATTTATTTATTTATTCATTCATTCATTCATTCATTCATTCATTTTATACCCCGCTCTTTAGCCACGAAGACTCTCAGAGCGGCTCCATGGCCTTTACTTTCTGGCTCTTGGCTGACGTTGGGTGGCTGCCTATAGCTCACACCTGATAGAAGCACTTACTTTTTATTACTTGCGATGCACTTGAGTCTTGGCACTAAGGACGAGCTCAGCCTGAACCTTTTATAAAAGGAAAAAGGAGAAGATAACTTATGCTCTGTAATCTGTGCTCCTTAATGATCTGGCACCAGTTGCTCCCTCCTTAAGTATCTGGCAGTGTGCAAAAAGCCTGCCTAAGACATTTTGCCAACTGAAACAAAAGTACTTAGGACCCAAACATAGCCAAGTTATTTTGGTACCTGAGATTAAAAAAAAATCCTACAAATCCTTCTTTTCTTGTTAATTAAAATCATGACAGGTAAGATCCTGCATCATCAAATTTAACTGTAATGGTGGAATTGCACACTTGTACCTTTTCAACCAGACAGCAGCCCAACTGAGGGTTTCCAAGGCACTGTAGGTTGGAGCCCTGAGAAATGACATATGCAGTCTCTCCTGGCATTGATTTTCCTCCTATCTTCTTTCTAGACTGTCCAGCTCTCACATCCATAGATGGCAATAGGGAATACGAAGTTACAAGTTGTTAGAGAACAGACAGCTGGAGAGACACCCTGCAACCAAGGGGTCCTGCCACACCTGCTTGTCTCAAGGTGCCTTGAAACTGGTAGAGGGCTCTAGTCATTTCCTTTGTTGTGGTTAACTGCCTTTACATCGAATAATAATAATAATAATAATAATAATAATAATAATAATAATAATAATAATAATAATAATAAAAAATAATTTTATTTATATCCTGCCCCTCTGCGCGGCAATCGAGGCGGCGTACATCAGTTAAAAAGAACAGTTAAAATCTCAACCCCGGCCCCAACCCTCCCCACCATAAAACAGAATTAAACTAGCTTAGAATTAAAACATGAGCATAACAATTAAAACAATGAACTAAATAGGGTGAACATGTCATGGCGGCCAGAGGATGAGCAAAGGATCGCCATCAGTTAATCAGGGAGATGTTCCGGGAAGGCCTGCCGGAAAAGATCCGTCTTTACTGCCTTTTTAAATCAAACCATGGCAACCCTATGGATGAGACATCTCCAGGCTCCCCTCTCCTCTTGCTGCTCTGCTTAATTCCTGCAAACTCATATTTGTGGTCTCTTTAATAAAGTCCATCCATCTCGCATGTGGCCTTCCTCTCTTTCTACTTCCCTCCACCTTTTCTAATATTATTGTCTTTTCCAACAATTCATGCCTTCTCATGATGTGTCCAAAGTATGACAGTCTAAGTATTGTCATCTTGGCTTCTAGGGATATCTCTGGCTTGATCTGCTCTAGGACCCATTTCTTTGTCCTTTTGGCTGTCCATGGGATCCTCAGCACTCTTCTCCAGCACCACATTCTCTCCAATGCCTTGATATTCCTCCTATCTTCTTTCTAGACTGTCCAGCTCTCACATCCATAGATGGCAATAGGGAATACGAAGTTACAAGTTGTTAGTGAAAAAAGTAACTAGTTACCAAAATAATTTGGTAGAAAGATGAGTCATGTCTCTGCTGTGAAGGGGGCCTGGGAATTTTTAAAAATTGTACTCCGGAAATAATGGTGGTAGCATTGTTGTTGTTATTGCCATTGTTGTTGTCTTCATTCTGCATGGCTGTGAAACCATCCATTCATGGTAATAGGGAATACGATGGTTTGTATGATTCTAACTTTTGTGCTGAGTTGTGTATCTTTGCATTTTAGGATTTTTTCTAGTTCTTTCGTAGCCACTCTCCCCATTCTTAGTCTTCTCTTGATTTCCTGACTTCAGTCCCCATTCCGATCAATGTTTGATCCCAGATATGAGAACTCTTACTATTTCTATTTCTTTATTGCTTAGGTTAAACTTGTGAAGGTCCTTGGTGGTCATTATTTTTGTTTTCTTTATGTTCAACAGTAAGCTTGCCTTTGCACTTTTTTCTTTGATCTTCCTTAGTAGGTGTTCCAGGTCTGTAAGGTCATTTCCTAGCACCCCAATACGCAGCATGATGGAAACCCTTTGGTGCTGGATGGATGAAAAGGTTGGTTTTGGGGGTCACATTTGCAGTCAGGAATGAGTAAATGTGAACACCGAAGTTATGAAATCGTAAATCCGGTTTATAATTCCATAATTGCTGAACAGAACGCCAACCAGCAAAAATAAATAACCAACAGTTTGTTGCCTTTTTTTTGACATCCAGATTTAGAACCTGAGGTAGCTACCCCATCCTACCAAAAAATAGGGAGTGATTGTGGTGTGGGTTGCACCCTTGACTTTGGATCTGCTGGTGTTTGTGGAAGCAGTAGTTTGCTGGCAAGGGGGTGTCTTGAAAAGTTAAGCAAAAATCATGGGGGGGGGCACTTCGTTGTTGTTGTTGTGTGCCTCCAAGTCATTTCTGCCTTATGGCAACCCTAAGGTGAATCTATCCTGGGGTTTTCTTGGGAGGATTTGTTCAGAGGAGGTTTGCCATTGCCTTCCTCTGAAGCTGAGAATGCTTGACTTGCCCAATGTCCCCCAGTGGGTTTCCATGGCAGAGTGGGGATTTGAACCCTGTTCTCCAGATTCTAAGTCCAGTACTTAAACCACTACACCACACTGGTTCTCACTACCACACTCTGAATCCCTAACCGGGAGGGGTTCTGGAAGCTGTCCAAAAAGGTAAGCTTTTGGAGCTCTGGGCAAGGTGTGAAAAAGGATGGAGCCCATCTACCTGGTCTGGCTGACTGAGAAACAGTAACATAAGCCATTCCGCACTATTATTACTTATTGTTGTAATGTATTGCTCACTTTTTCTTCTCCTGGTGTTCACATCTACCCTCTAATGCAGTTTTTAGGGTCCTCAACCCATCCAGATTCCCTAAGCCACCCTTTTCCTGACATCTTTGTAATCTGGCCACATGGAAAGC